ACCGGTCAGCATCCGCACGAGCGCGCGTGTAGGGCTTAGACTGAATGCGACCAGAGCCAGAGTATCGTAGGAGCCTCTTTACAGACCTCGTCGTTACTCCCTCACGGAACGCCTGATAACATGGCCGTCACCGAGGGGAGCGCCGGCTAAAGCACAGCGTCTGGCCCACTCATCCAGACGCCCGATGTAGGATGTCAGGGTCTCCTGGTTCGAGCGGGCAGTGGGTTCTGATAAGAGCTTCTCGACCTCGAAGTGGCCACCGCACTCTTCCGCTAGAGCGGAGCGGATATCAGCAACGGACGTCGAAAAATCGACCAGAGTCACGGGATTCTTACGTCCCACGGCCTCCTCGAGCGTGTACTCCGGAACTAGATTAGTGAGAAGAAAATAATGCTCAGGACCGCCGATTTGCCAACCACGCCGGACCACCAACGACTCTACTTGACGCCAAAAACCTGAGAGTCCGCGCTCGTCATCGACGCCTTTGAAGGGACCGCCCTTGAAGGCTGAGGATGCTTTATCAGCATCCCGAGAGGCCACTCTACGGTCCCCGTTCGAGATGGCGTCCGGATTCGGCCTCAAGGTCACCCGGGATCCGTGAGATGGGGGCGTTAGATTCAAGGCCCCCGGGGAGCGCCCGGAGGAGATTTCTCCGCGCTCCCGAGAAACCGACCTGCGCGGGGGCGAGGAGGTAGACCGATGATTGAAACCATGAAAGTGCTGAGCAGGAGCCGCCTGCTGAAGACTAGCCGGGCCGCCGGCGGTCTGCCTGGACACCTTGCTTCTCCGTTGGAAGAGGCGGGCGGTCCACCCCTCGCTGAAGGGGCTCGCTTCGGAGCTCTTTAGTTCCAGGAGCGAGGAGAGGTTTTTGCGACGGTACAAGGGGGTAAGGGTCTGAGCTTCCGGAAAATGAGCTAGCCTTTCATTCTGAAGGGCAGCGTAGACCACCATGGGGGGGAGGAGGTCGAGAAGTTTTTGTGAGGTCTCAGTCGGCAATAGGCCGACCGCGGCCCGATTGCATGCCCAACCAAGATGTTCCTCCACATACTTGGGCAGCTCTTCTGGGGAAAGATCCACGAGGTACAACCTCACCGCTTCAGGGACCACCTCGACGGGAGAGACGAGCAGGTGGTGTGCAAGTTGCTCGACCAGAGCTTCCAGCCTTGGAGGACCTCCTCCGACAACGGCTTTCTCTATGCACCTCAAGATTATATCTGCACCGACCTCGGGGTCGGGGGTCGTGGAGAGGGCGTCCAAAACCTGGGACTGGTCAGCGGCGCCCTCCTCGATGACGAAGATGTCGCACAGAGGCGGAAGAGTCCCTGCATCGGAGCCAGATGTGAGAATTTGACCGGGCTCCGCCTCATGAACACGACTCATTGAAGATGCCATTAAGTCTCAAGGTCAATAACTTACTACTAAGACATAAATCTGATGGAGATGGGGTCTACTACGACTCAGACTTGGGTTGTACGAATAAAGGACTGGCCATTGCTCGGCCCGAGCAAAAACACGCGTGCACATGATTGCACGCAGGCACCTGTGGCGCACACAACCTGTGCGTGAGGCCCACTATCGACCATCCA